TGCTACCATTGTTTAAGTATATAGCCTATATACATCTTTAACAATCGTTACTATCACAAATGAAACGTCGGTGAACAGACGTAGAAACACGCGATGCAAATGCGCGCATTGCGAGATGAAAGACGGCGTCCCAACCCCCGATTCTTACCACGATTTCTTTGCTCTGAAATCGAGGCGACACCGTCCTGAACTATCGACGAACCGGTTTCTATGCATTGTGCCTTTTTTTTCTCTCTCTCCGGTCAGGTATCGAGCGGAGTGTTATCCGGGATACTCAATATATCGCCGGAGAAAATACAAGCCGTCGATATGGACAGCATAAACGCGCCCATTCACTACTCGTTCCTCAGCGGCAATCCATCGAATTATCGCGAGTTCTTCGAAATAAACCCGAACACCGGCGCCGTTAAGCAAATCAAGGCGGTCGACACTACTGTTACGAAGAAGTTCGATATTATCATTAAGGTAAGTGTCGGCGAAACGATCATAATCATCGGAAGAGTTAAGTTTCTGACGCTTCTGCTCCGAGTAATGATACTCGCATAAAACTTGCATTTATCATGTTAAATATAAAATATTCACCTCAGGGGAATGATTGTTACGGACTTAAAAAAAGATGTATTCAAATCAGCAGACGCGTATGATAAATCCTTGCTCTGTCTTCTGTTTATGTAAAGGCTGTCGAGGTGTCGGAGGCGAAGCGATCAGCTACGGCTAAATTGACCATTACTGTGAAGCCAGTCGACAGTAATCCTCCAATTATAACGGCTTCGAACGTGGAGGGCTACGTTGATGAGAACGCACCAATCGGGACAAAGGTTATCGATAAAAATGGTGATCCCATAGTGCTCACCGTTTCGGACGCCGATTTGGTAAGACTTATCTTTCATCTGGCACCGGCAGTCACGAGCCGTGGAACAGATACGAATCTACCATTTACTGTCACTCGTTGGTAACGGATGTGGTTCTTATTCGCCCGTTCCATTGATAACGAATCGAGAAAAATCGATATCAGATGAAATTGATAAAAAGGAAACAAATTGCAATTGCACGACGGAATATGTTCAATTTTCTTTCATACACGTTTTTTATCAAAATTTCATACAGAAAACTGTATTAGTATACCGAGCTTACCGTATCATTTGCGGAGTGGTGCATATTTTCTATTCACAGAGGCTTCCAATATCTATGTAAAGGTGAATTCTCCCGGGTAACGATGCCACCCACCCAGACTCGGTTTGTTTTCGTGAAAATTTCCAATATCCGCGGGCTGATTAATGGTCGCTCGACGCGTTTCATTTCATCAAGACAGCGATCGTACGGCGGAAATTACGGAGTCCGAATTAAAGTGGACTCTGTTGCGATGAAATTGCCGTGGCGCGGTCACTTGTTAAGGGACACGTTTTCAGGAAGTTTATTGCTAGAAGCCGGCAGCTGCCACCCACGCGCTCACTCGTAAAAGCGTTTATGCGACGTTCTTTATCAATAAATGGACACGTCGCGCTCCATTTTCGTTTTGATTGTTTTATCTTAGATCAGATATCAATAATGTCTAAATTTATGGTTCTGTAATAATACGTGAAACGGTTCAATTAAATATTTGGAATTATTAATAAAGAGTTGCTTTTAAAGCTTTATTGAATGCTATTGTCGTTCGTCAAAACGGTATGGTTTTTTTGTTTAGAGTCCTGAAGATCCGAAACCCGCGTACACTTTCGAACTGACTACGAATTTCTTTGCGATCGACGCTTCCGGGACGTTGGTCGTGAATGAAGAGAATTTAGACCGTGATCCTCCGAGTCCCGGTCGTTTCCGGTTTCAAGTGGTCGCCAGGGAAAAAACCGGCGTCGCAGCATCCGCACCATTATCCTTCGTGGTGACACTGAACGACGTTAATGACAATGCTCCCATACTTCCGATGATAGCTCCTATCACCGTTCAAGCCGGGGAGACAAAGAGAGTGGTGACAAAGGTAGGCAGACATTATTCAAAATTAATTCCGGGTCATTGAAACCGATCAAAGAATTTCCTTTAAACACGGATTATGACAAAGAAAAATCACCGATGAAAGAGATAAAGATTATATATAAATTTAATTAACCAAACATTTGAATTACTTATTATTCGACAGAATATATATTCGTGACGAGAATTTTCTCTATAAAAAATGACATTGTAGTAAATTAGAATCCCGGGAACGAAAACTAATATCCATCAGTGTACTCCAACGCCCGCACGTCATTATCGGTTTCATTTCAAACAGTGGAAATTGCATATTCGCAATTTCGCTATTTTCGCGTTGGAAAAAATTCATTTTATCCCGGGTATCCAGGTCGAGGCGACGGACAACGACGACGGGGAGAACGCTGAAATAACGTACAGCATTTACCACGTGTCAAATAACGGACTGCATAAATTTAAAATCGATCCGAAGACCGGCGTGATCGAGACCGTGAGGAAACTGAACGCCGGCGAGCAATTCAGCATCACGGTCCAAGCGATGGACAAGGGCGGAAAGTATTCGCAAACGATCGTCGAGGTGAATGTGATTCCCGGACCCAATACCAGAAGCCCAGTTTTCCAGCAACCGGTGTACGAAGTCCAGGTCAGCGAGGGTGCATCGATTAATTCCACGGTAGCGACAATTACGGTAAGTGCGACGCTACAGTTTCTCTTTCTGATCTGAATATTTTATAAAAATATGGCTGACAGAGGAATCGTCTATTTTGTGCAATAATATTAAACAGGTTTTATCTGAACAAACCGGAAAGCTAATATCTTAATATCGTTGTAAACTATGTTCATACATACCACATGATCACTCTTCTTATCTAATAAATGTACTCCACGAACGTTTAACAGGCTGTTGATCCAGAAAACGATCCTGTATCGTACTCGATCGTTTCTGGCAACGACCTGCGTCAGTTCGCCATTGGTCACAAATCGGGCTTAATCACCGTTATAAGGAAGTTGGACAGGGAGGACTTGACTCGTTATCAGCTGGTGAGTTTACGTCCGTGAATGTCGTTTAAGCACCGCTATGAACATCGCTAGTCCTTCTCGTTACAAGGGAACGCAATCACCGGTTACTTTTATTTCTCCTGGAAACACCTGCCTTTCCCTGTGTTATATCTGATCAAGATTTTTCCTCTCGCCGCTACAGCTGATAAAGGCCGAGGACTCCGGCGGGTTGTTCAGCACGGCGACGGTGAACATCAAGGTGACTGACATCAATGACAAAAATCCAGAATTCGTGGATTTGCCGTACGAGTTCTCCGTGAAGGAAGGAGAAGCGCGGAAATTGATCGGTCGCGTTCACGCCGAGGATGCCGACGAAGGCATTAACGCTGAAATTACGTATTTCGCGCCCGACGATATACCGTTCACGGTCGATCCTGAAACCGGGGACGTGTTAACCAAGATAGTCTTAGATTACGAGCAGAACGATGTAAATATATTATCAGAATATCGAGGGAGTTGCGTATAATTTTTATTATTATATGTACGATAATTAAATTTCTAGGAATACAAATTCGTCGTGACTGCTAGAGACGGCGCTCCCGATTATCGTTTAGCCACAGCCACCGTCACGGTGAAAGTTATAGACGTCGAGGACGAGGTTCCTATTTTTCGTCAAAGCAGTTACGAAGCTCGAGTCAAGGAGAATATGCCGGATTACGCGGTGATTCAAGTGACGGTAAGTTGGGCGCTTAATGACGCGGCAAAAAAAGCTTGCGCGAATCGGTTCGTCCAATAAATTCCATTGAGCTTCCAATCAGGTAAAGTGATGGTTCAATAGCGAAGAGAAGGATTAAGTTTTGTAGTAAAAAAAGAGATTTCATGGGAGAATTATATTTCGTGTCGTCGAGTCTGATCGCATACGCCATATCAGCGTACTGGAAGGAATGCAGTGAATTCTGGACGAGTGGCCATCCTTCTCGAGGCTAAAGCAAACACGATTAATTCCAGGCCGATGATCCGGACACAAAGAAGCAAATCACATACATGATCAAACAAGGGGATACCGAACTCTTCGTCATAGACCCGAAGACGGGACTGATAAAAACTACGCGTGGTTTAGACTACGAGAGAGAGGTCCAACACATCCTCATAATTGGCACCGTCGAAAATACGAACGACCTGCTTGGTTCCACTACGAGAGTCGTGGTCAACGTCCAGGTATTGATTATCATAACTTCCCTTTGACTGCTCTCGCTCCTTGCTTATGATCAAACGATATATTTATAAACAATATAAAATGATAAGATGTTTTCTATTTCAATATTGCATAATATTAGAGAAGTTTGAATGAGATATTTTTTATTGATATTTATGATTTCATTTACGATTTTTTAACATGTACGAAACGGATTTACACGATTTTCTGACTATAAGAACGGATGAGAAATGCATCGAAGGAAAGCAGACGAAAGATTAATACATGCATTTTCACTTTAGCTCGTATTGAAACAGTGTGTCGTCTTCCAAACACAGATCTTTTAAAATAGGAAACTTTTATCTCGCTAGACTATAGTCGTCCATCTCAGCTGTTGGAATCTCAGCCTCGATTCCATTCGGTGTATCTATATTTGCAGTGTTCTGTTAGTTCTTATCGACTCGAATCTGTACGTGAATCTTCGCAAAAACGATAAAAGGTGTTTAGAATCTTGTGTTATTTTTGTCCACCAGGACGTAAATGATATTCCGCCAGTGTTCACCTCCGTTCCACGTCCGATTACGTTAGACGACGATGTCGCCATCGGAACAACAGTCATTAATCTTATAGCGACAGACTCCGATGGAACTCCACCGGGGAACCAAGTGTGTATTGACAATGCATCGAGAAATAAGAATTTCTTTAAAATTCTATTCAACAATCCTACTGTCCCCAGGTGAGGTACGAAATCATTGGCCGTGGCTTGGCGAACAAATATTTTGTGATCGATCCGGACAGCGGGGTGCTTAGAATACGAGACGATTTGCGCAAAGAGACAGACACTGAGTATCAGGTACGCAATTTAAAATCCCATAAAATCATCTTTTTATAGAATTATGGTTTTTTATGAAATTCTGCGCGTTATTAGAAATCTGAATATTTGTTTGTTTGTTAACGTTTCAGGTTGACGTGCGCGCGTATGACATGGGAGAGCCGCAACTGTCGTCGGTGACTACTGTACCGGTGTTCGTCCGTCACGTGGCAACGGTACCGCCGGAAATCGGTTTGGGCTTCGCGGAGAATTCGTACAACGTCGAAGTGCCGGAAGACGCGGGCGACAATACGTTGATCAAGATACTCACGGTCATCAATAGTCACGCGCACGACGCCACGCCGCTGAGGTGCGAAATTTACAGTGGGAACGAGAACGATCTATTCGAGGCGAACGTTACCGAGGAGCGAAATTGCGCGCTCAGGCTGAAGAAGGGAGCTTTGGATTACGAGACGACGGAATCGTATCAAGTGAAAATCAGGCTCGAGTCTCTGTCGGGACTTCTGAATTCTGGGAGGAATACTACAATGGTACGTATACGTATTTAATTATGCTCGGTTTCATTATGCATGATGCACAATTAATTAGATTCGTTACATAATTCACTGTAATTTATTACGAATATATATTTTACATAAAAATTCAACGAATAAGAGACAGTATCACTCATAAAGATAAATATATATTATTTGAAGGCAGCCTAAAATTATTTTCGAATTTCACGTTTAAATTCCAGGTGAAAATTCAAGTACTCGACGTGAACGACAATAAGCCTGAGTATATTTTCCCGGAGAACAGTCAAAAGTTAATAAGGGGTCGTTACTTCGCTGCAGTTCCCCGGGGGGCACAATTCGCTTCCACAGTGATACAAGTGAAGGCACACGATAAAGATAACGGGAAATACGGGAAGCTGGAGTATAAAATATTGGGAGGTAGAGGCTCGAACTATTTCGCCATGGATAGCTCGACCGGAATAATTAGAACCACTGCAACATTTGATAACGTGGACCCATCGGAGCTCCCATTTAAATTCGACGTTCGCGTTAGGGACAATCCTAACTCGACTGACAACTATAACTCGATCGTCGCACCAGTTATAGTAAATTTGATTGGCGAGGAGAATCTGATGATTCTAGTCGTTCAGGACGCAGCGCCGGACGCGTTGCAGAAGGACGCGTCGAAGATAGCTGGTATCATCGAGGAGAAGAGCGGACTTCTGATCGGTGTCGACAGGATCGGCGTGAGAAAAAATCTGACAAAAAATGGGACCATCGAGATGTACCCCCAGGACTCCGACGTGTGGTTCTACGCAGTTGATCCGGACACGGAAATTATTTTAGACAGGAACAGTTCGCGGATACAAAGGTAAGTTATTTGTATCGAACTTTACAGCGAATTCAAAACAACAATTCGTAGAACTAATTTAAAGCCGAGTCTATTTTTTAAACAAGAGAACCGTAACTATCAGTTATATGTCACATTTAATTGTACTAAGTAATTAGCAGTCGCAAAGCAATTACAGAAACGCGAAAAATACGTTATAGTCATCGTCGAGTGACGTAACAATTGCATACCGCTGCTTTATCCTGAATCGAAGCAGTTCGTACACGATTCCGCTTTGCAGTTTTCCTTGTGCAACATGAAGTGAATGAAATTCGTAATCAAGGGATAATCGTTTTTTTACAGATCGATCATCGAGAAGCCGGCTATGTCAAACATCACTTTTGATGTGTCCACGTTGATTCGAGTCACCGCGATAGACATTCACGCACCGATGATGCCGCCGGAACCAGTGCGTACTCAAACCGCGATCGCATTCAGTGGCGAAGTGTTCCCATACGCGTTGATCATAATCGCGTGCGTCATATTAATCCTAGGGATAGCTGGGATTATCTACATCTGCGTTTCCTGGTCCAGGTAAGTTACTATAAAGGATCATGGAATTCAGTTTTTGAAATGTTTATAACATCGCGAATATAAAGAGCTTAGAATCAAATGAATTGAGTAAAATTAGTAAGGAACCTTGGATGAAATTTGACTGTTTGGATGACGCGCTTGATTCTCAAGTATGACAAACAGCGTTGTTACCGTGTGAAAGAAACGTTTTTAAGTGTTCGCATAAATATTCGTTTAACCAGTTGTCCACGCGAATTCATTCGTTCCTTTTATTACTGCCATTAGAATTAATTACGCCTTTCCGGAATGAGTTACCTCTTAACCACGGGCGAGATATCTCGCGACATGGTATCTCGTCTGTAGTCGCGAAACGGTTAATTATTGACACTAGCAAAAAATGTTTTAAACAGAAGTTGTAGGCCTTGATATCTTCTACAAGATCCTATTCATTCATTCATTTTTCTTCTAACTCCAATAATTAACGAATTAATGGCGTAGGATCTGTCTTGTATCTTCATTTTTTACACGAACGTTATTTTCTTCTGTTTGCGCAGATACAAAGCGTACAAAGAACGAATGCAACGAATGTACGTCGTGCCTCGTTACGATCCTGTGTACGTGGAGCCGAATTTGAAAGAGTACGAGACCCAGGTGCTACAAATGAGCGTGCCAGTGGACGATAACGATAGCTATAACGATCTCCAGCTTGATTTCAGCAATAAGAATCACGCGTTCAGCTTGGACAATGTTAGTTACATTACTAAAGACCACGGAGAGAGTACAGGTAATTAAATTCTATATTAAACGAGAAATGTTTAAAATTATGTTGATGCTTCTAATTAAAATGGTTCAGTATTTTGAGTTTCATTTTATTACTGAATTCGTTCTACTTAAATTAATCAAATTAATAAGTAAACAGAACGAGGCGAATTTCGCTGCGAGGTTTACTTTTTATGATACTAATCTTCGGAGAGATGAAACCGCATTGAAAGAAGGTTGCGGATAAAACTGCAGCAAACCATATTTCAAATCTTATCTCATGTTACGAATATATCTAGTATCACATTATTCTGAGAAATCCATGCATTTTTGTATCTTTGAAAGAAACACATTCGGTATATCGTCTTTGCATAGAAAACTAACCAGCGAAAAAGGAGGCATAGAAATACACGGTTGCCTTTGTTACCTGTTCAGGTCAACACAGTCCTGTGAGTTCTGAAGCGGCTACCACCGCGCGAGCTTCGAGCATAGCCGGGACCCACGGAGATGGAAATATCCACTCGCTACGTCGATCCACCCTCGGCAGAAAGAACCATAACAATAGTGGCTCGAACACGGTTAACAACCACGACGCGACGCCGGTGTTGAACCCGCTCTACAGCCACGGTAACGACCTGCTCAACGCTAGTCCGTCGAACGACAACGTGACGTTCAGGGAGAGGAAGGATTACTCTCATCTCGGATTCACGTACTTGGGCGAGCAGAGCCCGGTGGAAACGACCACCGAATTGTAAGCACAATTGGAGGATCGTGATCGAACATGCTCAAACCGAAAGACTCTTCACGGAGCCGACGCTCCCGGTGTTTGCATTGTGCCACTGTGACAGCGAGGAGTCCTCCTTGTGCGACGTAAGTTTTGTCAATAAGGTGCATCGATTTCTCGATAAACGATATTCGTGAAACTAGGACGAGAAGCATGGCACCTATTATTTACGACAGGCATGTCTACGGGAGCTCTCCGAGAAGCACCCAAGAGGGAATAGTTTGCTCGTGACAATCGCGATTCTAGGCCTGCACACACAGTGTCAAAGTTCTCGCTCATTATCAGCTACTCCAATGTTATTTCTCTACTACTTTACGGCTCATCACGTACTCGGAGAACGCTCCCGTCCTCTAAACAATGATTTGGACATGCCTGATTTACGATGCGCCGTCGTACCACGATGCGTTTCTACAAACGGCCGCTGTACCTACTTCTGAGATTAATTTCACGTCGGGAACCGCGACTCCCGTGAGGATTAAAAGATCCGCGCGTTGTAGCGGCACCGACGCGATGCCTGAACTGAAAGCGGATTGCAATGCATTTCTAAGTATGTACAAGATTCGCTCCGCGCGACTGACTCTCAATTGAATCGTCTCGATGAATAGCGCGGCCGCGTATCCCACCTCCGAAACAGGTCGCGAGTGCATTACGTTGCTGCAAATGAAACGTCATTATCTTTGAACTTTTGCAAAAATTGACAAAATTACTTATCAACCGTAAACGTCATTAAAGACTGACGACTACTTTTATTATTGTCTGGAGTGTATAAAATGGCAGAATTAGTTTGTAATTAAATATGTTACGTTTCATACGCAACAATTTCATATGACGAACGTACAAAATGCGACGAGCTTCTTTCTACAAACTCGTAGGGAAAGCGTTCCCAAGATTTTCTATGACCACAGAATACTGCTCATCGACGCAACTATTTTTTACACATCGAATATTTGTTGTGCAATAGCCGATTGCAATAAAGCGTACTCGCGCAATGCTTGTTATGAAATCTCGAGCGCGCGTTGAAGTGATAGACAAGCGAATGTTTTATTCGCGAGAAGGCATAGAAGTTATTACGAGTCAACGTACCGTCCAACCTAGTGGTAAGAATTGATGAAACGAATTATAAATGACGTGTCCGAAGATAAGAGTGAATGATTCGAACGAATGCGTTTCGCGTGAATGACTTAAATCTGGTGTACACCTGCACGGTGTGTACGAGGGATACGCATGTAAAATGCATTGTAAAATAAGATCTTTCTATTTATAATCGCGCGTTTGCTCATATTATTTTATTATTTTTTAACGATATTCAACCAATGTCATGTAGTCGTTTACCGTTACGATTGTGGGTGTCGAGGCACACGCATTATTTCATATTTATTCCGTTTACCTGCAAAATCGATAATAGCCATCAGCTGTTCGCTATACCAGAAATAAAATGTGATTCAAGATTCTACTTTTTATACTTATGTATGTATTTTTACTAAAGTAAACGTTGACATAAACGCTCTTCTTAAATTTGTAACGTCTTTCGGATGTTAAATAGATAAGAATGTTCGCGTGAAATATGTACTTGTAAGCATGGTCGTACCGACAATAATCAATTAAAAATACTGTACTTAACGCGATGATTGAATTAACTAAACTTAGGTACTTGAATCGTCTTTTCGTTTTCGCGTGCGACGTACTGCGCGAGGAACGAGCAGGACATGTAGAATTAAATTGCGAGACTTAATCGATTAAATCTCTAGTCGTGTGGCGAGCATCCCGAATGTTATATCAAGATGAAACTGTTTTTTAACACATTGTACTTTGTTTAGGAATCGAGAAAAATTCTATCGCCAATTCGTTGACTAGAGTGTTAACATCCTTTAATTGTAGTCGCGTGTTGTTTACAACAGAGGGAACATAAATATTGTAAAAATTGTTAATACCTAATAAATCTATTATATAATATTTACATAAATCGTCTACAAGTATTTGCCTATCCTACATCGTACATTAGAGATTAAAGGGGGGGGAACATATTTCCCGGGTACGTTGCACTGTCACTGTTCCAAACGCACACATCTACGACGAGAAAATACATAGGACTCGAGAGAAACTGCTTTTGAGCATCCTTACTGTTCATACAGTAGCTATCAATCGTTCAGAGAAGTTGCACGACGTACGGGCAGCACAAGACTGTACGGAAGAACTCGCGAGGGAAATTCGATTTAAAGCGGCTCTCAGGTTGTTGGCACTAGGGCTCGTTAACGGATTGGTAGTCGATTGGCCACTGCCCTTGACAATAATAGGTGACTACGTCCTTCGTCATCATACGAAACGAAAGGTGGTCGAGTGGAGCGACGACGTGCGAACTAGCGAGCTTGAAATCGACTAGACGAGGACGAGGGTAGAGCGTCGGCGCCGTCAGTCGGGCTCGACGCAGTCGCATCTGGACCGAACGCCGCCGTCGGAGGCTGTAAGGGCGGGTTGGCGCCTGAAAAGTGGGACGGAGAGAGCGTTACACTGCTCGCGAAGCGAATGAGGCCGAAGCTGCCAGCATTCACCCTCGGCAGTTTAGTCGCGAGCGTACGCGCCAAGATCCCATCCGCTGGTGTCAGGGGTGAGAAACGTTCTTCGGGGTCCAGGGAGTCGTACGGACTCCGTCAAGCATTAGGCACGTGAGATTGGTGCATCGATTTTCCCGTAGTATCCAACGTTGTTCGCGTTAAGAGGACTCCGTTATATTGAACCCACGGTTCTCGTCGGTCGATTCAGCGTCCCGCCACGCTACGTGTGCTCGTGTATTTAGTAATAACAGGACACCAGAGTAAAGCAAAAAAAAATCACGCGGGGACAGACGTGAAACAAACCACCTGTAAGCGGGATAAAGAATATTAACCGGTTATGGAAGATAAATAGTTGGCCGGTAAAATTTTTTTGTTCTGGTTATTCGGTAAAATCGTCGATTTTCCGTACCTTGTCTCTTCCCGTTTCTAATCAACCACGTCGGCAACCATCTATCCCTCCTACGTGTGTACTACGTGAAACAGGGTAAGTGACATAATACTATAATATACATGCAGCTATGAATATTTATTAGTAATACTCTTCGTGTACTTAGATTAACATGTACCACGAATTTTTTTTCGTACTTGGTAACGTAACGAGTCTGATTGCATGCGTACTTTCCTTGAACAATTTAATCTGCAAATGCGCGTCTATCACTATTCAAGAAGATTGGTATTTACCTTTCCTAGAATTCCTAGAATAAAATGTTTCAAACTCTAGACGGAATCAAATTCCCCGCGGAATGTAATTAACATACTCTGAATGGAAATTAATCCAGCTCGTTTTCATGCACGCACTTTGCCACAAGTAATTTCCAAGTCGTAACCACGAGGATTTAATCGTAGATTTCCAATTGTCCTGCGACGTGCACAGTAGAACGAGGGTTGGGTGTTAAATCTCATTGAATCTTTTGATCCCGTCTAAATCTAATGACGGCCTAACGTCGTTAGTTTATTAATTAGTCCCGCGCAGTTGATATTTCGAAACACGTTGTCGCCACAGCGACGGAATACGTTAGATTTGAAATAATTTCCGGTACACCTTCAAAGCTTGATTGTCCACCTGCTAGCTGTGATTATGTCCCTCGATGAGACACGAACATTTTAAAGATTTTTCTTCCTGGTTCAGCTTCCTCCGACGCTTTGACCTAAATCAGTCAATCTCCTCTTTGTTCCACCGGAGTTATAAACTCGCATTCTTGCTGAGCGATTAGTAGTCTTTACCGTTCGATCATCCAGCTACCTCGTTACAGAGATTCATCGATCGGTCGATTAACCTTTTGTCCCTTCAATTTTCTAGTCCTCTGCGTTTTATTTTCTTCAATCACTAAATTGTGTTGATATTAGATATTCAGGAGTTTTCTGCCGTTCGTGAGCGTATTTCAAACGAGCCTGTTTCACGTTCGCCCTGTTAATACCCCCGTCCGTAATCTGCCTATTCAAGAATTTTTATTACGGAGCGTGAATAGCAGGATTACTTTAATATCGAAAAACTGAAATGGTAACGATAAAATATAACAAGCACGTATTTCATTTATTGTTTCAAAAGCGTTGAGTATAAATTGTTTGATGCGTGTTTTAAAAAGATCTTCACTTTTGTTTCGTTCGATTTCGTTGTTTCCACGTTCGAAATGGGCTGTCTGTAATAATAATTCACGCTAGCGACCTTATATTTGCAGATTGATGACTATTTGATGTCTTGAAAACGATCGGGATGAAATACTTGAAAGTCGTTCTGTTCACGTTCAATTTGTTAATATGGGTAAAGTATCGAACATTTAATTACGAATTAAAATAGGTTCGTCTGCGAATTTAATTTTATCACGACGAGATAAAAACTGAAGATGCATAAATACTTTTCCGAGCTTACAGTATGCATGACACGACCTGTTTTATATAAAGATCTCCGGTGTCTTCTAATAAAGCGTAAACAAAGAGTGAACGCGCGTGGTAACTAATAATATATCTGCTTTTAATTTATAAACAATGTTAACTATGCAGAGAGTTCAATAACACCAAATAGACGAAGGCGGGTGCATGCTATAGTGAATAATGAATTATGCAGGAAGTTAGTTTACTACCGCCGTTACGGCACATTTCGATATTTTAATTTTGCGTCGGTAGATATTAGTATGCAGAGCTTGCACCGAATATTTAAAGCGAACAAAAACATTGTCCGCTCTGAATTTACACGTGTTAAACAGTGGTGTTCCAAGGGAAGCTTCGCGCAGCTTACGAAAAAGCTTCTGTCCATAATAGTTCGCAAACGGCGTACTCAGATTTTGCATAAAGAAGAAACTCTTTCGTTAACGACCGAAACTTTTAAACCCCTCCGACGGTAAAGTATCGTTAATTAGACACATCAGAGACGAGATATGCTCCATGCAGTTGTACCAAAAGTAATTTCGGTATTTCCAAGAAAGAAATCACCTCTTTCAGACTTTTTAATTATTCCTCTTGTTTCGTTCGAATGAATGTTGGACAATAAACTTCAATTTGAAAAATATTTATGCTGTTAGTTCTTCAGTTGAATTTAAAATTATTAACTCTAGAGTGCTTGAAAAGTGCGTCGTGTTCAATTGGAGAGCATGACGGACTCGTGTAATTCCATAGCGAGCTGATAGCAAAATATGATACGTCCAATTCCAACTGAAATTGAAATAATGCTCTGTCACGTAGACGCCTACAGACTCGCATTTCCGTATTTGAAAATCCAACAATTAACATAAAAGGAATTGTATATTAAATTATTCGCCGTCTGAAATTATTGTACAAAGTTGAGGTTCGTTAACTATAAAATTAATAAGACCGATATTCAAAGAGAGATTGTAGAAAAGATCTCTATTTCTCTTCATAATGCATATTTCTCTGAATAACCCGGTTGCGTAAAGTTCCCTGAAATACCATTGTAAAGTTTGTTAAACAGCATCCTCGCTGAAAAGCTATTGTACACGAAAAGAAATTACTGCTCGGCTATAGTTGGCAGGATGCGTGGTGCTGGCGATCGGAGCGTGGCTGCTTGTGGAACCGAGCAAGGGTCACCTGTTAAATCTTTTCGTGACCGACGCGACGCCGCACATGACGATTAACCTGATAGCTTACAGCTTGCTCGGCCTCGGTCTGATGGTACTGACGGTCGGTTTCTTCGGCTGCCGGGTCGCGCTTCACGGGAACCAATGTATTCTGGCCACCGTGAGTAATCCGATGCACTTTTATAGATACTACGTATAACTTTTTATAGGTGGACGGTCAAGGTTTATCGTATTTTTATAAATCCATGCAGTATATAAGCATGCTCGTGGCTCTGATCGTCACGGAGACGGTCACCGCAGCCGTTGGCGGGCTGATGACTTTCCGGATGGTTTCCGGGTTGGAGGAACGGCTGATCGGTAAATTGGCCCAAGACTACGGTCATGAACCGACCAGCGACATCCCCTTCAGCCACAGTCTCGATTTCGCACAATACAAGGTGTAATTGGCGTTTTAATAATAGCAATCGATTGCTTATTTTTAGGATGCATGCATTCATAAGTAAATAATTATAATTATCTGAGAGAATCGTAATTTATTCATTTAATCAGAAGATATAACATGAAAAATTCAGTATTCTTATAATGTTTGTAATAACTTGGCGTACGCTCGATCGCTCTCGTCTAGATTTGTGAGATTAAATTTGAAAGGTAATCCACGCGACGACGTGACGACGAGAGATCGGCAGCCGTGGTACAATGAAAATTTTATTTTGCGCCCGAGCGATCGTGCACTAATGCACGAGGCGTCCGGCCGAGCGTACATACATATTGCGATGGTCTGAATAGTGCACGAGTGATTCCATTGCAGTTTAATTGCTGTGGAATACACGGATACGGAGACTACAATGGCACGGCCTGGTGGAGGGACGCACAAATTTCGGGGAACAGGAGACAGGTCCCGCTCACGTGTTGCGTTCTGAAAAATACCGAGGTACGCTTTCAACTCGCGGCGTTGCAAAATTTACACCGTCAGGTCCTTTTCAATTTTCACGAACGCTGCACGATCGATTCGTTCTCACAGATGTAGTTGCAACCATTCCCTTCTGTTCAATCGACCGCAATTTTTAAACCGAGTTTATTTTCATCGAGAACTCCCCGTATACTTTCATCTATTCTTATTTCAATCCCTCCAATGTAGCGAAACTGCTACAGGAGAAAACGTAAAATAAAAATAAATATTTTGCAGGAAAGCAATACGGGGAGTCCGATGAGCGTGGTTTCGAGAGTACTCCACAAACATGTGAGTAATTTAATTAAGGTCTAAAATATGTTCCTGCTTTGCCCATGATATTTTGAATCTTTTTTTAAGACGGAGAAACCATGGCTGAATCCGAAGCCAAAGGATGAAATAGCGTGTCAAGTGGAGGACAAAGAGGGTCACGACGGATATCGACATAAGGAGGTATAATTGCATTCCATGATTAATTCACGAAGGACAGGCAGCTCGGTTTAATAGAAAACGGGCTACGATTTTTTCATATGAGCTATAATTAGTCTTCCTTTCATCTTTTAATCTCATTGTCTTACTGTTAATATTACTTATGCGAAATGTAATTAATTTAATTCATGGATACGCTTGAAATTATTCTCGCAAGAAACACAAACATTTCATTTATTGCTTCTAAATGACAATAAGCTTAGGACGAGAAAGAAGTAATTCATGAAATTGGTGGCCAGGTAAATCGGAGCTTAAACTAGATTACTCCTTTCACTTAGCTAATTGATGTTGTTACGGAGAGGTCTTTTTGTTGTTGCTGTAGCTTCCGATTCAATTTTATTACGTTTATAATTGGTCAAAAGAAAACCCGTGTTATTAGTTTTCCCAACTCGTTTTAAATTACTAACGACATTTGTAGGGCTGCCTGGATAAAGTTACAAATTGGCTGCAGTGCGAGAGCTTCACGTTAGTACTTCTGGGTATGGCGATGGCTGGTATACAAGTACGTTGTTCATATTTTCTCGAATCGAAACCATTTCCAGCATCGTGTCAAGTACGTATGTTTCAGATATTCGGTATAATAACTTCGGCTTTCCTTTGTCGGACGATAAGGGACATGCAAGTGGATTGAAACGCGTAAAGGCACGAAGCCGTCAAGAAAATCAATTTCAGGTTCCCCGCCGGCTTCCGCGATAAAATCGAACGCATTATTTTGACGTTTCACCCGTTTCATCTCTCCGCGACGAGAACGTTGAATCGAGAGATGAATGATACCCACGATAATAACCGAACGTCTCGAGCAATGAGTGATACTCGTTCCTCCGTCCTCGGAGAAACTCGATGATCGCGAAACTTACTGTTAGACGAAAAAAGCTGTGCTTGCTCGAGAAGCATTGAAACAAAATCATTCCCGTCCCTTATGCGTGTTTCATCGTGGCCATGTCGTACCGAAGTAGGACGAAAGGAGGATGTCTATTATTCTGTACATAAAACGTTGTTCTCTTCGTGTTCACACTGACAATGAAATTACAGGGACGCCGCGAGTCGATCGCGATCGTTCGAATTAAGCGAATGAAAATTTTTGGCCGCCTGCTATATTTTTGAATTAAGCGCGGTGCGATCTGTAAATATGTACAACGATAATAATAAAGCGACGTGAATTGTACAAATTGGAACCAGACAACTGAACCATCGTTTTTACTTTTAACTCGTTTCGCATAATTTTTTACGATTTGTATACCACGTTGGCAAACCGCATGCGTTGATTTTGCGATCTCTGGCAATGAGAAATTACAAATACTCTCAAAGAGAGTGAATGTAATATCGTAGATGTGTACGCGTGCGATAAAAAATTCATATATCCGCGTAAAAACTGCTTATGGAACCGAAAAATGGATGTACGCCTCTGTACCGTGGCGAATGATATTCTCTGCCGTAATGTCCAAAAGGCCAGGAAGACGTTCATTATGTTCGTGATTAATATCGGCTAATAGGAAGAAGAGAAACGAGAAATACATCTGTTACAATAATTCGTGCCAAATACTAGATGATATCCATGTATGTATCTTGTGAGCGAATTTAAATTTGTTACACCTTTATTTTCTGATGATATTTGTTGAAACGTGTATTATACCGTGTTCGTAAAATACAGTAGGAATACAATAAAAACATTTGTCTCTGTACGATACATTTATTTTACACGTTATCACTTCAATAGCGAATTAAGTTATTTTCCTGATCATTTCTTAGCGATTATATCGTTTCGTACTTGATTTTACATACATTATATAATTTCGATTTGATGTAAGACAAACTTTCATGACTTTACACGAAATTTTTGATTAAAAAATGGAATGCTCGTGACGAGGATTATGTGTAAAAGAATACGGTACGATCGTTTACTTGCTGAACGGGTCTGCAATTAGATAGAATGGGACCTTCTTGTGAACAAAGCTGACGGAATTGTGCTACCTGCCAGGAAAATTGAAATCGTAGAAACGAAGATTTCTTTACGAAGCTGTAGTTTACCTGAGACGAAGATATAGCGATCGGTTCGGGCTGCACGATCCACGTGACGACTTCGCTGCAAGGTGGTTGAGTCAGCGAGCCATTGTACGTGTAATAATCTTTTTCAAACGTCGGGAAGATCCAAACCAGGGGAAACGGTGGAACGTGCGCTTTCGTTCCGGGTTGAGCGATTCGCCATAAATTCGTCACGATGTGGTCCAAATAAGGATTGTCCGCATTTGTGATCTGTACATTCGCGTTAACATACAAAGATATAAAATTGTACTTGAAAATAGGTAAAGGAGACTGTGATAAGATTGAACCTGGAAGAGGAACGAGATGATTAGTATGCTGTCATTTTCCTGAGAAGCGCTCGCGTCTAACAGCGAGGTGAAGCCTCGCTTTATGTGCCACACATGCAGCTCCATGGGGAATCGAATGTAATCTATGGTATGCTCGCTGCCTTCCTCGTTCGACTGTCCCCAGTGGAATACTAACGAGCAAAGGTCGTAAGCACTGGCCAAGCATCCACCTTCAATATACGGTCGCCTAGAGCTGCTCCACATTGTATTAATTACCACTGAAAATTCAATAATCCATATTAAACTGATGAACGAACATAAAAAAGAGATTAAAATGTAAACAGCCTGGTTTTATGACTCGATTATTTAACTATAACATGAATTTTATTAAACTGGTGGATGAAACTGCACCATTGTTCTCATTATTCGTTATAGTGATCGATAATGGTTCATCTTTGTAACCACTCCATCGGAGGGGATCTGAAGGCTGCACTACGACTGCGAGCTGCGTTGCAATGTTGATCGGCGATTGATTGCTGCCACTGCAGGCAGGATATAGGATCTTCCAAATGTAAGGTCCATTGTGGTCTTTATACCCGTATTTGAACGAAGTCAGTTTGCAATCGCTTTCTACCCATGGAAATAGTTGGGTCCAATCCAAGACCTCAGTCAGTAGCAAAACTAAATAATAATGACGAACGCTCATATGGAAATTTTGATAATTAATTGATAATTAGACCACGGATTTTTATAAAATTTAATAAAAAAATTTTAATTTATAAAAAAATTTGGGATTTTATAAAAAAAATTGATTAAAAAATATAAATTTGTATGACATATTGCAGTGTTTAAATGATCTTTTTATTTGCCTACACGAAATTACAGAAATCCGTGGCCCAATAATTCTGATTGACGAGGATGGCATCGGAGATACATACAAATCAGAAGGATACTGCTACATAAGATCATAAATTCCGATACAGAGATGCTTATCATTTTCAACAATTATTGCGATACGCGTAACTTCTGGCGCAATGTGAGTTGCGCTGAGCCTGCGGTTGAACGCGTCCCGACGCATGCATACGCATACGAAAATCTTACTTGCAAATTTAATTAACTGTTTCAAACTAACCTGCCGGCTAGTCAGGATAAATTAACGACCAACAAAAACGTTGAATTCTTGATTTATCTGCGTATAACTTCAAAGGAGAACCGCGGTTTGATTGTTCCGGCTTTCGTACTCTCTCTGATCGATTCTGCCTTATTTTCTCTGAAATCAAATTTCAACGTGTAAAGAAAGATGCGCACACTTCGTTGTTTAATTAAAAATTGTATGTCACTAGTATAGAGTCCACAAGATTTATAAATGAGAAAGGTTCTGATAGAGAATAGAAATGCTGTGCGCAGGTAAAAGTGGACAACCTCTTAAATTGTTTTTTATCTGTGGTATATTTATTTGGATATTTTAATCATTATCTAAGGCGATGCACGAAAATGGGGTCAATCCCCGATCGACATCGACGAACAGAATGCGGTTCCTATTAAGTTCCCTGCGCTTATCATGAGTGGCCACTGGAGTAACGATGGCAAGGCGAAAATGCAAAACACCGGTAAAACAGGTGATACGATATTTAAAAAATATTTGTTAAGAATGATAGAAGAGGATGCTGTGAAATAAATCCAAGAGTATTTAAATGAAAATTGCGTCTGTCAGTTGAAATAACGCTACAAGGAAAGAAAGCCCCGGCGACGATTCACGGTGGCCCGTTGGCGACTGACGTGTACGAGCTGTCGGAAGTCGTGTTTCGATGGAGCTCGTCGAGTTGCAAAGGTGCGGAACATACCTTGAACGGCACTTGGTTCACAATGGAGGCACAAGCGATACATTTTAACAAACGATACGAGACTATCGAGAATTGTTTCAATAAAAATGACGGACTCGCCATATGCTCGTACTTTCTGCAGGCTTATCAGGTGCCAGCTTGGGACGAACACCCGTCCTTTTCCAAGATCACAGATGATTTACATAAAATCACTCAGTGCGACTCGTGGACGAGATTACCTCCAAGTACAAAATTAATTTAGAATTTGACATAATGATTTTGTCGACGATTGAAATCAAGATTAATTGAAAATTTCATCAATCTCGTCGTAGACTGTTTATGCTGGATGAAACAAGCTTGTCAAACGCCTGGTTACTACACTTATTTAGGATCGACCACGACTTGTCCATTTCACGAATGCGTCACTTGGATCGTTTTCCCAGAACCAGTTCGGATCTCGGAAAATCAGGCGCAAATGTTTCGGATGTTATGCAGCAAACAAGGCACGTGCATAAAAGACAATTATCGAGAAGTACAGAAGTTAAACGGACGCGTGGTTTATTACGTCAATTAATCTGTGTTCATCTAGATTTTCGAAAATCGAAATTCACGTACTCGACATTATTGTACCCTGTCATTAATCGATTGTACGCGTGTGTGTAATAAAAATCTAATAATGTATGTATGTATGTACTTGTGACATCCAAATATATCAATGAATCAATTTTGGGTTTATCATTCGATAGTTAATTGAAACTACGTAATAAGTAACAAGCTTCACTGCGAAGATTAGAACACGCAGCTAATCATGTAATTTACATTTATTCGGATTACTACAATATATTTTCGGCCTCCTATTCAAAATTTTTGTGATAAAAATAATTCAGCAAGTATGTCGAAAATGCATCTCAAGAGAGGAAAACCAAGTAAGTACATAGCAATTAATTCTGTTTAAATGTTTCCCAAATCATTACACGTGTTCCAGCCCATAGAAGTGTCCTCGTATGGACATCATCGACAGGATTACCCAAATGGAAACAGTCACCGATTGATTTGAGTAGATCAGCCACGTGGCCCAAAAAGTTTCCACCTTTGTATCTGTCAAACTACTGGTCAGGCGAAGGTAAAGCGACGATGACGAATACAGGCAGAACAGGTGATTTTTCAATACTTTATTTTTTGCTATGAAGTTGATTTTTATTAATGAATTTTTTATTATGAATTTAGAATTATATTCAATTTATGAGACTTATTTATTTTTAGTTCAAATAGAATTGTCGGATAGGCAACTACCTTGGATGCGAGGTGGTCCTCTCGGCAAAGACGAATATCAATTTATGAACGTGCAATTCCGCTGGGGTCCTGATAACTCGTTAGGAGCGGAACACTCCATAGACGGCATCTGGTTAAACGTCATTCTAATATCCTTTTCAC